CGCACCAAGTGACACTAACATTCTGTTTGGCTAATATTGCCAGGTCCCTAGTGGCGTCCACAAGCTCCAAGTAGTTTTCATTCTTGCTAAGGGTTTCTAAAAATGTGTATCGGTCATTGATGGCAACATCATCTGGTGTTGTCTCATGAGCGGCTGTGTTGTACGTTCTGTGAAATGAGAGGCAAATGGAGCCGGCGGCCTTGATCTTCTTCATCTAAGTCTAGGGTGCTCACTACTTTCGTCTTGGACTTCCCAGTGACCCGAATATCAGCATCCTTGGCCTTAATAAAGACAACTAGCTTCTGATTTGTAGCAGAACGTCGTTCCCAATGCATCCATAGACGATTTACCTCCTCTGTCTTCATATGAGAAGGGTCTTTGACCACAAATCCTGTGGGAACTGAACCAGGTTCCAAATAATTGGACGGGCTGGCAGTTATCACGCCCCAAGGTACAGGTCTAGAGCCACCTGTGCAGACTTCTACAAACCATTGAGTCAATCAAATGTCATGCACATATTGAAGATGTTAGATCTTACTGTATGAAGTATGAAAGATACTTCTAATCAATTCGTGTTGGCCCTTGAGGCCAATACCATCACGAAGAGGAAGTTTTGCATACCCCTCATCATCTACTATGATTTCAGGTAAGACAGGTCCATCCTCACAGTCTGAAGCCGCATGGTCTGAATCCTCTGAAGGGTCTATCAATTTAATAGTCAGTGAGCATGATATTTAAAATCAAATGAAACACGTACAAAATTCAGTCTTAGACCATTCTCCAAAGGATTCAAATCCATTTGCAGCCCACTCCTTGATACCACTCGAGCTCACAGAAAATTTTTTCTTGGCATTCTGAGGCGTAGTTTCGTGTCTATAGTAGTTTAGTTAGTCTTGAGATTTCCATGTTGATTTGATGACTTACAGACTGACGGACAATGTCTGACTAGCTTTTTTCTTATGACTAACAAGCATTACTATGCGACAACCCATGGTGCGCCGAATTTGCTCTGCAAAATCTTCCAGAGTTTTCTTGAGGTTATTCTTACGATATCTCAAGCCAAAGTGTTAGACTGGAATAACTGTAGATTTGAAGTAAAACTTACATTGCCTGAGTTTCTTCTGGCGCCCCCTCCTCATTCCATTTCTTCATGGCAAACTTGACCTCCTGCTGTTGTGAAGGTGTCATGTTGTTGAACCACTCCCTGGCATTCCCAGTGCGGTACTTGATTGAATACTCCAAGCCTTTACTCTGTTGTTGGGCCTTGTCATATGAGTCGATCTCCTGCTTAAATAATTTCTGTGCTACGTCCCACTCAGACAGGGGTTTCTTATAGAAAGATGGTTCTCTTGGGCGACTCGCTGCCTCACGTTCGTCTGCCTCTTCCTTGTCTTTGAGACTTTTGGCATAGTATTCTTTTATTGCCTGTAGGTAACATTTATGTATATCATCAGACAACTAAATACATGTACAGTATAAGAATTTTGTGACCTTTTTCAAGGAAGTAGGCAAGGCAATGGGTTCCTCTTGCTCGTCTTGAGCAGCTAGTATGGCCCTCCGAATCTTCCTCACCACAGGCTTTCCAACAGATGAGGAACCTGCAGCAAAAATGGCCTTAGAGTGAAGGTCGAGAATTGGCTTAAAGGCAATAGACCAGTCGGTAGACATCGTAATTGATTCAAGATAAAAATTGCAGGTAGGCTGGTACAGGCGGTAGGAGGGTGGCTAGCCGAAATTAATTTGAACACCCATGTTTATCAACAATAACGTGTGACTTATGAAAAGTCACACGTTATTGTTGATAAACATGGGTGTTCAAATTAATTTCGGCTAGCCACCCTCCTACCGCCTGTACCAGCCTACCTGCAATTTTTATCTTGAATCAATTATCAAATTGGATATATTGAGACGGTCAAATTCACATCAAGTAACAAGATTAAAGGCACATTATACTTCCATTGAGTGGAGTTAGACAGTGTAGATAATAGACAAATTCACATCAGGTAAAAAGATCCAAAACACGTTATACTTCCATTGAGCGGTGAGGGTATCTAATCAAGTAAGATGAAGAAAAATGAAACATGAAGGGATGTACGAAAAAGCTAAGACAAAATAATTGTATCCTAATCCTCATCCTCATCAGGGACACTAGGCATGGGCCTCAAGACAACCGAAATCCAGCAGGAGCCAGGTCTTTTGCCTGGCAAAAGGATCCTGGAATGAGGTGGTTGTGAGAATACATACTTTTTCCTACATTGGCCATTCTTGCATTCAAAGATGTAATCTTTGTGCATGTTGACAGAACACCAGGCGTTACTCCACCCACACTGTGGGCACTGGACCGGCAGGTACTGACCCCAGGGGCGAAGTTGGGAATGCGTCCAGGCGAACTTGGTAACGGCCAACGAACCTGAGTTGTCAGGCATCAGCAAGAACACGTCAGTGTGGCGCCCAAGTTTGTAGGACTGGCCCAACATGTCAGGGAAGACGATGTGAATGGGCAAACGCTCGATGATGACCAGCTCCGCGAATGCGAGCAAAAGGTGGGTGGCGAAACTCGGCTGAAAACGAACAGCATTAAAGCCAATAGTGGCTGTGATGCGATGACTGTTAGGGTTAGTTAGTATTTGCAAAGATAAGATCAAATGGACTTACTCTATGACCGCCTGTTGCAAGCCTGAAAAGGAAGTGACGTTGTTGATGAGCGCGCCACACGAAAACAGCCATAAGTATGATTCCGCGGCACCATGAATCAGGGGATGCCAAGGTGAAAGCAGAACATCGAGAACCTTTGGTGTCAAATGAGCAAATACAATGTTAGTCAAAAAAATGCCACTTACAGAGTGAACGCGTGCCGAAACGTATGACTTCTTGTTGCCCTCGTACCCAATAAATGGATCTCCATGCTCGTTGTCGGTGTGGTTAGTGATGGCGACGACGACACGAGCCCAGTTGGAGCTCATCAGCGACTGGATGATGGCAGTCGCCTGCAACCGGTACTCGTCGATCTTTGAGGCATTGCCGATGTCGAACACGATGGACCGAAATTCAAACCCTCCGCTGGGGAAGTATGGCCGAAGGAATTCGGAGGCCAGTTCGAAACAGCCGCCGGTGACGTCGTGGTCGACGAGGACGAGATGGAGCATGAGCGTGGGTGCCGAAGACAGTTGGGAATGGAGTGAAACCTCCAACGTAGCACGAATTTGGAGGAATGAAGGAAGGAGCGGTTGCCCCTTCCTGTAAAAACCCTATAAAATGAAGTGAATGTTAGTTAGCATGAAATAAACGAAAAAACTTACAAAATAGGGCGACTGAGATGCGCGCCCGTGTCGTTCCATGCCAACATGGCAAGATATGCAGACGAACGTGACGTCATCGGCCTGCACCGCGTGTGCACTGGCAGGCGGGATGTTCATGCAGTTTGAACACATCACCCGCGGACAGGTGCTGCAGAGGAAGAGGCAATCTTCCCCTACAGAACCGTCTCTGCAGATGAGACAAAACTGCAAATAAAGACGCGTGTTAGTGCAAATAGTAGGTAACTAATCACTTACCTCGTTGTGTTCAGACGGCTCTCTCACATTCAGCTCACCCGGCGCAGTGACCGCTCCAGTAGATGCCGGCAACGACAAGGCAATTCGTGGCGCGGTGCCACCGGTGGACTTCTTGCAGGTTTGTTTAGACTTCACCATGGTGAAGAGAGACTATTATAGATATATTCAAATTAGTAGATGACACGGCAAATAGCACTTACAGTTATGTAGTTCAAACAGATGCAAAGAGAGGAGAGCGCCGGCTGAATGTACTTAGAAAGAAATGAACAAGTTTGAACGTTGGTTGATTGTGACAAACAGATCCAAATAGTCACGTGATTATCAACAATAAACTCAACAGCGTCATAATATTGGCTAATCCACAATTCAACGCGTCGCGTGTCAAAAATCCACTCAACACGTGCCGGCGCGCCGGCACGTGTTGAATTTGTGGATTTTTGACACGCGACGCGTTGAATTGTGGATTAGCCAATATTATGACGCTGTTGAGTTCATTGTTGATAATCACGTGACTATTTACAAACAATAACAAACTGACACGTGAATATGAACAACAACAATCAGTTCTCACGGTTCAATCTCTTCTTTCGTCTTACCTTCATCATTCTCCTTCATCCTTTATTTCTGCCAGTGCCGTTACTTCAGGGCGACTTCCGGTGTACTCCTTTGGGTTCTTGCAGACTGCAGCTGCAAGAATTCAAAGGTACTACCCTACAGTCGCCCTTCAAACATAGTAAGTTCAACTTTGGTGGTGCGCCTACTTACTAACTGTTTTCATTTACATATACTCTCTTTCCCTTGAGGTTTCTCAAGGTAAGTACTTAATTGCTCACACCCGCTTGCTAATGTCTGTTGTACTTAGGATTTTGGAGACTTTGGATGGCGCAGTGACAGCCACTCCTCCCTTTGAGCGCCCTCCTGGCAGTTCCCTAACGTAAGTCCTTCTTTTCCCGCGTCTGCTTGCTAACGTTTGTTCTATTTAGGATTATACTTACGAATTTCGGGACTTTGGATGGCAGTTAGAGCCACTCCTCTTTTTGAGCGCCCTCCAGTTCCCAACGTAAGTCCTTCTTTTCCCGCGTCCGCTTGCTAACGTTTGTTCTATTTAGGATTATACTTACGAATTTCGGGACTTTGGATGGCAGTTAGAGCCACTCCTCCCTTTGAGCGCCCTCCAGTTCCCAACGTAAGTCCTTCTTTTCCCGCGTCCGCTTGCTAACGTTTGTTCTATTTAGGATTATACTTACGAATTTCGGGACTTTGGATGGCAGTTAGAGCCACTCCTCCCTTTGAGCGCCCTCCAGTTCCCAACGTAAGTCCTTCCTCTCTCATGTCCGTTTGCTAACGTTTGTTCTATTTAGTATTATACTTACGAATTTCAGGACTTTGGATGGCGCAGTTAGAGCCACTCCTCCCTTTGAGCGCCTTCCAGTTCCTTAAACGTAAGTCCTTCTTCTCTCGCGTCCGTTTGCTAATGTCTGTTCTATTTAGTATTCTGCTTATTGGAACTGGGGGTTGCGCAGTGCATGCCACTTGTCAGTGGCTCCTGCTTATAGGAACTGGGGGTTGCGCAGTGCATGCCACTTGTCAGTGGCTCCTGCTTCTTGAAATTGGCGGTAGCGCAGTGCATGCCACTTGTTAGTGGCTCCTGCTTATTGGGACTGGGGCTCAGCGCAGTGCATGCCACTTGTCAGTGGCTCCTGCTTCTTGGAATTGGCGGTATCGCAGTGCATGCCACTTGTTAGTGGCTCCTGCTTATTGGGACTGGGGCTCAGCGCAGTGCATGCCACTTGTCAGTGGCTCCTGCTTCTTGGAATTGGCGGTATCGCAGTGCATGCCACTTGTCAGTGGCTCCTGCTCCGACTTTTTAATAGCCTGCTCCAACTTTTTAATGGTGGTAAGCGCTCAATTCCTGATGACCTTAACTGATCTGTTTTGTTCTCTAGACTGCTGAACCTGCCGGTACTTTTGTGTGGCAAGTGCTCTCTAGTTAAGTGTTAATCTTGTCTTAAATTTCGGTCTAACGTTTCTACAGGACAAATTTGTATTGTATTATATTATATTTGCTACATACATTTTCACCTGGAGTGTTGAGGCTTTGGTGAGGAGGGCCCCCTCATTGAAGTCTCGCCTCCCCTTTTGTATTTGTTACTTTATTTGTTTGCTTACTTGTAGTAAAATTTATTGTCACTCGTACTTTGTATTTGAAAATGTATGTTGATGGATGCACTTTATTTGCTGCCGGCTGAAAAGGTCACGTGACCGTGTGTATATTAGCAAAGAGCCTTATTAAGAAAGCAAGCGCAAAAGCACAGTAGTGTATAATAATCAAACGCTGCACAGACCAAAGCAACTATTATCTACTACATGTCTTAGATAGATAATGTGTTATGTAGATCTCAATTCTGCCTTGATGCGGCTCACCATTGACATGCTGAAGGACGCTATCATTGATTATTGTCTGCCAGTCAAAATATACTATTGGCATAGGCAGATGGTGGCAGAACACTAGGACAAGTAGCCATGACGCCATATGATACAAACTTCCCTTCCCGGTCAGAAGGTTGATTCTTCTTTGAAATTGCCTTCTGACCACAGAGGGGAGTCATCATATGGCGTCATTGTCACCATCTGCCTGGGCTGCTAGCATATTTTGGACTGACGGACATTCTCAATACCCTACAGGCCGCTTAGAGGCTAGCCCGCCCTCAAAACTGTTCGTGTTAAGAGTTCTGCCTCAGAGGTAATACTTAGTTAGCTACACCTATACTGTAGGGTATTGAGAATGTTTTCTTCGGTTAACAAAGAAAACATTTTCAATACCCTACAGTATAGGTGTAGCTAACTAAGTATTACCTCTGAGGCAAAACTCTTAACACGAACAGTTTTGAGGGCGGGCTAGCCAGCCTCAGAGGTAACCTCAGAGGTATCTCCAAACTGTTCGTGTTAAGAGTTCTGCCTCAGAGGTAATACTTCGTTAGCTACACCTATACTGTAGGGTATTGAAAATGTTTTCTTTGTTAACCGAAGAAAACATTCTCAATACCCTGCAGTATAGGTGTAGCCAACTTACCTCTGAGGCAGAACTCTTAACACGAACAGTTTTGAGGGCGG